ACATGCCTTTACCTGCATGCATGCACACACGTTAATTGGTATGTGCACCGTATCAAAATAGGACCCCCAGGCTTTGCTGGAAGGTTAGAGGGCATTTTAGCCATTGCTGCCCAGGTCCAGCGTCAGGTGGGTTTGGATGACAGTCCTCCGAGGGGGGCTTGGGCACTTGACACAAGGCATTTATAAACACAAGCCCAAGGCCTGTGCAGTTGCCTCTTTGTTGCCATTTTAAACTAGACCTTCCTTTAATGGGGGAAAACAGGCTCTGCAACCTGCTACATAGGGCACGATCCCAGGTGGGTCCAGGCTGCCATTGCCCCTCTTCATTGCTTCAGATTTTTGCCACAGGGAAGGACTGGTGGCCCCAGCACCTGTCTGGGCTTCTAGGCTCCACTGTGCCCAGTCATTGCTGCTGATAGGGGAGCACCACAATTTTGGAGCCAGCAGTGCTTGGGCCCCGGGTGCTGTGGGCTGTCATGGGGCTGGATGGGGCTATGATCAGTGCACTTGCTGCCGTTTCTGATCCCTTGCTTCTTGTCCTGTGTGTTCCCCCTAGGCCCTGTGCTGGTGCAGTCTGGCCCCCAGTATCTGGCTTCGCTGCCTGCAGGTGGTTCAGCAGTGCGCCCCACTGCCAGCTGCAACCACTACCTTCTCATGCCCCTTGCTGCATCACAGGGGGCGGCACCTGTCTGCTGAGCGGCCTGCTGGAAGTGCATCCTCCACGGACCCCAGTAAGGACAGCCATGTACCAGAGCCAACACCAGCTCTCCTGGAGGCTGTCCGGCTTTCCCTAGCCCCAGGACACATGTGGGACAAGACAGGGAGCTTGCCACTGCGAAAGCTGGTGCAGTCGCTCCTGGACATGGGCTTCAGCCACACACAGGTTGTGCAGCTGTTTAACCTGCAGCCCAGGCTGGCTCCTCAGCGGAGGCTGGCTGTGGCTTCTGAACTCATGCTCCTGGGTTTGTATCCCAACTCGGTGCTGCGTGTCCTGCAGGGGAGCCCTGACATGCTGAGGATGTCTGTGAAGCAGCTGAGGGACCGCGGGGAGCATCTGAGGCAACTTGGCCTCAGTGAAGGTACCAATGTCACTGCCACTGCTGCTACATTTCTGGACCTGTGGGGAACCCCCCTAGCCAGATGGCATGGCTCTGTGCACTGGCTGCAGCTGGTGCATGGAGTCAGGCTGCAGCCAGACCTGGCCTGGGACCCTGGGTCTAGCACTTGGGTAAGTGGTTAAACCCTTACCCTAGCTCCAGGAGACACCTTAGCTAACGCTTGTTTGGAATCTTCCTCTTGTGCCCAGCAGGCAGCAAAATGAATCCCCTACAGCCCAGCCTTTGCCTCTGCTGCCCACGGTAGGGTTGATTTGGAAATGCTGCTGGGAGTGCTCTGTTTCCAGCTCTGTTCCTCCCTGAGTTTGCTGTTCACTCCCTGTTCCCTGGCCTCGCTGTGGAGCCTGTCCTGTGGGGAGGGGCTCAGGCTCAGTCCTGTATAAGGATCCTGGTCCTCTGCCCAGTTTGATCCCCACACTGCTGCTTGCTGATGGGGGAAGGTGCATTTCCCTGAGGCAGCTCTGGCCTCCTACCTCTGACCTGTGCTACTGTGCTGACCATGCCCATGTCTCTGTCCTTCCACATAACCTAGGACACCTGAAGCATGTGGTAAGTCACTGCCCCACGATCTTCACCCTGCCTGGGAAGAAAATTGACAGCATCGTGAGGCTCTTCAAGGAAAAGTGCCTCTTCACAACGGAGCAGGTGACGGAGATCCTGCGCAGCTGCCCCAATGTCCTGCTCAAGGAGCCCAGTGACCTGGAGTACAAGTTCCAGGTGAGGCCAAGCCCTTGTCCTATGGGGCCATCTGGAGAGTTGGAGAGTTTGGCTGGTGTGTGGGGATTGCCAAAGGCATCTCCTCAGGCAGGTTCCCTCTTCCACATGCCATGCCTGGCTTAGGCCCCTTGCACCTGAAGATACAGTAGAGTCCTACCTCTTGGCTTGTGTATGGACCCCCTGGACACAAATATCAGGTGCAAACTGCTCTGCCAGGCTACTAGTGCTTCTGCAGAGATGAGGTGGGAGGGGGCTCAGCATTCTGCTTGTTTGGGTCCCTTTCCCTTCCCCTTCTACTTCCCCAGTACACATACAAGACCAGCTGGGACCTGCAAGTGGTTTTTAGTGTATCCTGTGTGTTCATGGGAAAAGCCATGAGCATCTCTTACAGTACCTGGGCTCTGCTTCCCAGTGTTTGCTAGGAGGCAGCCATGGGAGCTGTACACAGCAGATATTTGATTCCTCCCATGTCTCCCCTGCAGTACGTCTTCTTCAGGATGGGGGTAAAGCACAAGGACGTGGTCAAGTCTGGTTTCTTCCAAGCACCCTTTGCAGTGATCAGGAGCCGGCACATGTTCCTGGAGCGCCGGGGCCTTTACCAAACCCCTGACAAAAAAGGCCAGACCCAGGTTATCAACGCCAAGCTGAAGGACATCATCCGGCTCTCAGACAAGGACTTTCTGGCCCAGCTGGCCTGTGCCAGCCTGGAGGAGTATGATGTCTTTAAGAAGCTGTTGGCACAAGAAGAGGAGGAGGATAGAGACTCTGAGGATGAAGATGAGGATTCTGAGGGTGAAGGGGAGCTCCCTGACCATGAGTAAGGCAGTGGAACTTGGAAGCCAATGGTTTGGCTCCAGCCATGTCCAGACTGGATGCTGGTGCAGTTGGGCACTGGGTTCCTGTGGGCTGGCCACTGGGGGTTGCTCTAAGGGCTGGGTGCTTTGTCGGGGTTGCTTTGCCCCCACCACTTTCACATATTCACTGGCTAGTGGATCTACACCATGCCCTGCTGCTGGGTCCTGTCTGCTGGCTGGGATCAGGCAGTCCCAGCCCTGCATTGCCCTTCTGTACCAGTGACTGCTGCTGCGTGGGAGCAATAAACCCCAGGCCCTTTGAGTCTGCTGCATGTGCTTGCTCTCTTTCTCTGCCCCTCCCTGCTCGTATCTTGTGGGTGAGACTGTTGCTGTGGGGTTAAAGGGTGACCGGTCCAGAGCCTGCTGCTCCCAGCCTGCACCCTGAGGAATGACCCAGCAGTAGCAGCAGGGGGAAATCATGGGCAGTGCTGGTGCCAGCTTGGTCACCACAGGACAGTGCAGCTTTGTGAGGGGAGATGCTGCCCTCCCCTGACTGGGCCGCTTCTTCCTCCAGGCCTTTTGGTAGAAGGGTGGGTAGCAGGGCTCTGCTGTGCCAGTGGGGCTCTGACTGGGCTGGTAACTCTTTCAGTTTCCCACCATCTTCAAGGGCATTGGGAGGATCTGCCTCAGGGTATAGCACTGTTTGGAGCAGGCCCAGATGAGGTGGGGTTGAGAGCAGGTGGATTTGGGCTGGGAGGAGCTGAGCAGCGCAGGGAGGGCCACGTAGGGGCTGGTGCCTGCTTGGGGCAGGAAGAGCCCACAGAGGCATTGTAGAGAAAGGGGTGGAAATGGCGGAGGGTGTCTGCAACACGGGAGGAGAGGCAGGGGATTGACTGTGCAGGGGCTCCCTGGCGTAGGGAGATGAGACCCCTTATGGAGGGCAGGAGGTGAAGGGCAGGTGGCTGGTGCCCAGGGGGTATCACTGGCATGGGTAGGAGTGCACCTGGGCTGAGTGAGGGAGGGACAGGGGAGTGAGCCCCATGTTTGCCCATTTCTGCCCCATCCCCCAGTGTTCAGGAGACATCCAGACTCTATCAACCAGTTTTATTTAAGAAAGACTAAATTTTCTTTAAACAGGACCAGGATCCATGCACTGCATCTGTGCTATACTGGGTTTGGTTCCACATGCCCCAGCTGGTGGAGAGTAGGTAGGGCATGTGCAGTGCTGCCTACTCTTGGAGCCTCCTTGTGTCGCTGTCGAGCACTGGGTCAGGTCATACCAGCTGTCTGGCTTCGGCAGTTCACACTGCTCCTGCTGCTCCTTGCTAAGGCAGCATCTGTAGCAGCCGGAGAGGTGGCCCATCAGTGAGGACGGGGCTTGCGCGATGGAGGGCACTCAATAGCTGATGGGATCCTGAGCCCTTATGCCTGGTCGGAGGAATGGGACCACATGGCACCCAGGCTCTGTTGAGCAGGCTTTGCTCTCAGTCCCCTTGGCCCAGCCTCACAGGAGCCCCCTGTTATCATAGCGTCCAAACAGCTGCTCTCCCTTGTTGTTGGTTACCAGTTGGGAGCAGCCATGTGGGGAAGACAACGCTGCAGTGGCTGCCCTCGAGCTCTCAGGCCGAGGAAGGACTGGCCCAGACTGCTCTGGTTCAAATCCCTGTCCTCCCACCAGCAAATGGCTCAGCTTTCCCATTGCCCCTTCTTAGCCCTGACAGCTGATGCCCTGTCCTTCCTCTCCTTGAGGACAGGGATTCTTCCTGAGGCGAAGCAAACTCAGGCTTCCTGGTGGGGCAGGGGCTGGGGGTGGAACTCAGGTAGAGCTACTGGCTGGTGAGGTTTCCCTGTCTGGCATCTAGGTCCAACTGACATTAGCTGGTTACATAACCTTTCATTTCAGAAATCAGCCAGCTGGATGTGGGAGGGAGGGAATACCACACTGCAGCAGAGCTCCTTCCTCGTGCCTTTGGGCAAGTCCCCCTGTTCCCCCTGCCAGGATATGTAGTCTGAGCTTGCCGGTTTCCAGATGGTTGGTGGTGACTACGTCGTTTTCTCCTCAGCCCCTCCAGCTGCTCATGGGATTGCTCAGCACATGGCAGGTCTCTCGCTGCTCTCAGAGGGTGACTTCATGGTGTGCAAAGGATCTGTAGCTCACAGTTGAGGGGAGCTGCTGTGCACCTTCCACTCCTCTGTGTTAGGCAGGCTGTGCTTACATTTGCACACAATATCATGCCAAGGCTCCTAGCCCTGGCTCAGGGGGGCTGCCCCGTGTTCAGGTTATATCCAGTGGGAGCACGTTTATACCATGAGTAACATCCTGCTGGAGGTGCCCCCCACGTGCTGTTCGTGAAATAACACTTGATACCATAGCTAAGATATATCTCTGGTATGTATTAATTTATAATATACACTGTGTATGGCAATACACAATTCTATGTTTAACTAGTGTCGTCATACAAACTCACAAAAGCTAGGAACTCTTAAAAGCTAAACGCTCTGTCCGAGAGCTGCCCTGCTGGCATCAGAGGCTGTATCTGTTGCAATACTGAAGCACCACTTCTTTCTTCTGCTATGGTCTGGTCAGGTAATGTCACATTCATATCTGTTTCCTTGCAATCAGCAGGAACGCTTCACACTAGAAAGGCTGGTAGGGCAGTGCCGTTGGGCTGACATGATACACGAGGGCGGGCGCTTTTGGAACATACTTAATCGCTGTAATGTGAACTGTAGCATTTTACTCTCTCAGCTTTGAAGGACTTGATTTTTTTTCCTCTGCTCGTAGATACGGTGCCTTGCAGTGCCTTCCCAGATCCCTGGGTGAATAATCCATGCAATTACTAGTGGATGAAATGCTTTTCTAAGCCTTGACCTCTCTTTTTGGGGGGGGGGGGGG